GGTTTAATTAATGAGCTCGAGCTTTCTTCTGATGTATTTGAAATTTATTTTTTTTAATTCAATTCAAATAATGTATTTTAAAATATATATTTTAAATATATGTATTTTAAATATGTATATTTTAATTACACTTATCAAATTTAAATTTAAGTTTTCAAACACAACCTAAGTGAACACGGGTTTTTTTATGGGTTTAATTAATGAGCTCGAGCTTTCTTCTGATGCATCGATTAGATTGTGCGTGTATCATTATTGATTATATGTTGATAAAATTATCTCTAAATATGATAAAGAATAACAAATGGATGTTTTAATCCCAACACAATCTTTCTGGAAGTTCTTTCCAATCAAGTTGACTTTAGTTATGGGAGAGGGACCCAATGACCGTCCAAGCCATTGTTGTCCGTAAATGAAAACTGAATCTCCATTTAGATTTACCGTGTATTCCTAGGAACCCCGTGAATCACGGTGGAAAATGTTGGAACACCATCGTCTTATCCCTATTGGATAAAAAACTTATTAGTGTTTGTTTGTATAGTTTCTAGGCTTGTTTCTTTACGGTAAAAGTTAACATTTAATTATAATAAGCTACAGTTTTCATAATGTGAATCTTGTGCTTGCATCAAAAGCCATAAGCTTTCTTTTTTCAATTCTTCGATTACAAAGTCTCCACTTGATAATATTTTTTGTTTTTTGATGTGTGGAGCCCTACACCTGTCACCACTTTTGATGGGGTTTAGTTATTTTTTTAGTTGTATGGCTTTATCCTATTAAACACAAATCCTTATTTTTCATCTTTTAAAGATCTCGTTGAAAATCAGTTTAGGTGCAAAATAAAAAACTTTCATACTAATGGGGGCATGTATGTTGCCCTTCGTCACTTTCTTTTTATAACAGGGATATCTTATTTTACCACCCCTCTTTGTACAACGAAACTCAACTAGTTCAATGAACAACGCAACTATTATGTTGTTGAGATTGGTCTTGCACTACTTCACAGTACCTCCTTCCACTCAAGTTTTAGACTTATGCCTTTCAAACCTCTGTTTACTTAACATACTCTCATCCTCAATTCCCTTCGCATTTGCCTAGACATATTGCTGTAAAGTGGGGACTGGAAATTTTTTTTGTAAAGATTGACATACCCAAGGTTTTTAAAACCGGATCGGATCGGCCAGTTGAATCGGTCAGATCGGTACCTGGTGATGAAAACGGTTTGGTTTATATAAAAAAACCGTTTGATGTCAAAATCGGTCAAAAATCGATCAAAAACCGATTAAAACCGATAAAATCGATAAAAACTGATGAAAACCAGTCAAAACCAATGAAACCGATGGAACCGAAAAAACCACTGGTTCAATTTCTTATGCAATCTTCTTTCAATTTTTTCCAATTTCACCTTTTCCATTCCATTCTTATACCCATTTTAACCTTTAATTTTAACAAAATTACAAAATTATCAAATACCAAATTAAAAAATCCATGCCTGCAGCTTGCTCCTCTCATCAAATGTTCCTTGCTGTTTGGACCGGTCGATTCACCGGTTGAACCGATTAAACCAGTTGAATCGATTGAACCAATTAAACTGATTGAACCAGAAACCGAACCTGCAAATGGTTCAATAACCAATCCGGTTTTAAAAACTTTGGACAAACCGTAGGTTAGTGCTGTTGTTTAATTCTTTGTACATGAACATTAATTGGTAGCAGCCTCGTATGAAGAGCTGATTTGTGTATGGTGAAAATTTGGCAATACAACATGGAATTACAAAAAATTAGAAGTTTTAACAATTAAAATTTTAAGACTTTTA